AATGTACCCGCTTCTGAACAAATTGAAATTACTTGTTTCTTATGTATTTTTATGTGATACTTCAGAAAATTTTAGTCTGACGCGCCGTATCCGGGGCGAAAGTTGTCAAAATTGGGTTTTTGACCCTCAAAAGGAAAATTACAGGGGGTACATTATCATCATTGAATAATTCATTCAGTTAGTCTTCAATCATCATATTGATTTTATTGAGAGTTGATGAGATCATTTTAAGGTAGTATGCAAAGTTTCAATGGTCTGTCACTCGTGGTTGCCATGGAAACCACAATTTTTGCTGAGAAAATCCTTAATTTTGGTAAAACCTGTACCTGTACATAATATAGAATGTGGATTATTTTTCAAATCAACAGATATCAGAACATTTTAGCACTCTAAAAATCACCAGGGCTGTCCAAACATTTGTTTAAAGAGAAAGAATATTGCAATTTATATGACTGGTAAGTTTCAAAGACCATACAATTACATAAGTGGTCAAAAGTGGGCGTCGCCCTCATAATAGTAGTTGATTGCCATTCTCTATAAATACAGAGTTTTACTTGACTTTTGAGATACATTTATATTGAATTTATTTGGTTATACTTAATATCAAGCATTTTTACATCTAAGTGTTATAGTTATTGCATGGGGATACAGGGGGGAGGGGGGGTAGTAACAGAATTGGGAGGGGGCAGAGCTTATCAGCCTTAAGTGTAAATATCATCTACATGGTTCTAGATTTCATAGGGTACAGCTTCTGGGTCATATTATATTCATCTCAATATATAAGATATTAGAATTTACATGGTTGGTAAGTGTCAAAGACCATAGAATTACACATGTGATCAAAAGTAGGCGTCGCCCTAATCATTGTATATGGTTCATTCTCTATAAATACAGAGTTTAACTTGACTTTTGAAGTACATTTACTTAAAAACATCTTTGATTTATAGTTAATGTCAAGCATTTCTGGTAAGTTATATATGTACATCTAATTGTAATATTTATTGTCTGGGGGTGGAGGATGGGGGGGGGGGGAGAGTTACAGAATTGGAAATGGGCAGAGCTAATAAGCCTTAAATGTAAATCTCATTTACTTAGTTATGGATTTCAAGGGGTGCATCTTCTGGGTCTTCTTCACATTCATCTCAATATATGGGATATTCCAATTTACATGATTGGTAAGTGTCAAAGACCATACAATTACATAAGTGATCAAAAGTGGGTGTTGCTCTAACAATAGTAGATAATTCATTCTCTATGAATATGGAGTTTAACTTGACTTTAAGATTTATTTTTTAAATTAAAACTTCTTTGATTACATTTAGTTTTGTAATAGTTATTCCCTGTGGGGGGGGGCAAGGGGGTAGTAGCAGAAATGGGAGGGGGCAGAGCCAATGGCCAGTCAGTTTTAAGTATTAATATCATAGTCTGATCATTTTCATTCACCTCCCGATGTTAATATATTAACAATATCATGTGGGAGAATACTAGTATACCACTACACTTGCAGATTTGAGAGTCATTCAGTTGAGTGCATCTGTATATGGCGCTCCACCTTTGCCTTTTAAAAAGGTGCTATTGCTATTGCCCCTTCTGCATGGCACTTCATCTGTGAATGTGTTAAGTGCTAGGAAGGCTGCATATATGTCAGGGTCTATATTGGAGGAAATACCACTGACATCAATCTTCATTTGTTTCCAACTCAAGTATCCAGCAGCACACTTTCCTGTATTTGCTTTTTGTTTTCATCATCATACAAGAACTAAATCCAATCTTTAGGGACTCTTGTTTTTCTACCTTAAATAGGGCAAGGTGTCCCTCCCCTCTTTCAGGTTCCTTTATAGAATTTTTGATGTAATTATCACATACAAAAACTAATCAATCTGCAATTGTAGAATCTTGAAAAAAGTCTCCGCCAGATCCAGAAACAAAACTACCTTTCAAGTTGAATTATGATTTGGGATAGTTGGGGTTTGTTTTCCTTATGATTTGTATACATTTAGAAGTTTCTTTTTCTTGCTGGGTTCTATTACAAATTTTGGTCCTTTCCCTTTGGCACTTGTGGGTACATGTTCATGCATAGGGATGGGTTTCTCTGTTCTTGCAAGAAGTCCAGTCAGTGTTCCTAGAGCCCAAGGCACAGGGCTCAATAGGAACTGCAGGAGACATTCTAGGCTAATTTTATGTTCCTTAGCAAGATCGAAGCTGTTCAAAGATGTTTCATTCAGAATGAATTTGAACCATCTTATAAGCTTGTTCTGGGCACTTTTTTACTGTCACTGTCACTGTTGCTGCTGTAGTTTGCTGCTATAGTTTTCAATTTCATATGTTTTATTAGATCATGAAATCTTTTTTTCAACTAATCTCAGATGGTATCTCTTCATGCAATTTCCCCTTTTGACTAAAATTAGATGAGATCTGCAGCGACATCATTTGGCACAGATTTTCCTTATGATACACCGTAGAGATGACCTTCATCCTCAATGGTAAATGGATCAAGAAAGTCTTTGATTGCGGTTTTTGTCATCTTTATGTCTTTTTCTGTACTTGCTATTTGTGCCTTTCCAAGGTCATTATGTGTGTCACACTCATCTCATCTCTAGATAATTTTCCTAAGTTGGTCTTATGAAGGACTGTCTGATTGTTGTAACCAACTCATCCATATAAATCACTTATTGTCTGTATGGCCCATATTGCAAATCCTCGTAGTGAACCACCAGATGGACTTGAATGGAAACTAAATGACTCCATATCTTTCCAGTGGGTATTGACTGATATTCTCATACAAGAGATTGGTGATATAGCAACACCAGGAGATGAATCAGAAAACTCCAGAAGATGTACCCTATGAAATCCAGAATTAAAAAGATGAGATTTATACTTAAGGCAGATGAGATCTACATATTCTAATTCTGTTACTATTCACCCCTGCCCCAATGTAAAAACTATAAAACTTACACAGATGTATTTACCAGAAATGCTTGACATAAATTATAATAACAGCAGTTCAGTATAACTATGAATGTATCTCAAAAGTCAAGTTCAATTTTGTATTTATACAAAGAACCAATCATCTATTATTGTTAGGGCGACACTCCTTTTGATCATTTATTAATATGTAATTGTATGGTGTTTGACAAATCCTGTAAATTGTAATATCCCATATATTGAGATGAATATGAAGAGGACCCAGACGATGTACCCCATGAAATCCAGAACTATGCAGATGAGATTTATACTTAAGGCCGATTACCTCTGCCCCCTCCTTATTCTGTTACTACTCTCCCCCATCCTCCCCCAGGCAAGAACTATTACAATTTGATGTGCATAACTTACCAGAAATGCTTGATATTAAGTATAATCAAAGAAGTTGTAATGTAAATGTATCTCAAAAGTCAAGTTAGACTCTGTATTTATAGAGAATGAATCTATGATAAGGGCGACGCCCAATTTTGATCACTTGCGTAATTCTATGGTCTTTATACTTACCAATCATGCAGAATTATAATATCCGATATATTCAGATGAATGTGAAGAAGACCCAGAAGATGTACCCCATGGAATCCAGAACTATGTAGATGAGATTTATACTTAAGGGTGATTAGCTTTGCCCTCTTCCAATTCTGTTACCCCCCCTCCCCCATGCAATAAGTATAACACTTACATGTACATTATTTACCAAAAATGCTTCATATTTAGTATAACCAAAGAACATCATTATAAATGTATCTCAAAAGTCAAGTAAAACTCTGTATTTTTAGAGAATGGCAACCATCTACTATGATGAGGGCGACGCCCACTTTTGATCACTTATATAATTGTATGGTCTTTGACACTCCCCAGTTATGTTAATTGCAATATCCTTTATATTTAAATAAATGTTTGAACTGCCCTGGTAATTTTGAGAATGCTAAAATGTTCTGATACCTGTTGATTTGAAAAATAATCCACATTCTATATTATGTACAGGTACAGGTTTTACCAAAATTAAGGATTTTCTCAGCAAAAATTGTGGTTTCCATGGCAACCACAAGTGGCAGACCATTGAAACTTTGCATACTACCTTAAAATGATCTCATCAACTCTCAATAAAATTATTATGATGATTGAAGACCAACTGAATGAATTATTCAATGATGATAATGTACCCCCTGTAATTTTCCTTTTTAGGGTCAAAAACCCAATTTTGACAACTTTCGCCCCGGATACGGCACGTCAGACTAAAATTTTCTGAAGAATCACATAAAAATACATAAGAAACAAGTAATTTCAATTTGTTCAGAAGCGGGTACATTTTTCGGTGCTACCTCACTAACTATTTCTAGGCCAGAGCTAGAATCATGGTCCAGATTTAGAAAGTCTTTGATATCCTCATTTAGACAAATTGGAAAAGAACACCTCATTTGGGGAGTCAAGTGTTTGAACATATTAGTTTTCCATTTAAACTCTTTTAACACATCAGACATTCAGGCAATCAGAGACTGATAGATTACCTTCAGCATATGCGAAATCAGAGACAAAGAACACGTTCCAAAGTCACTTTGGATTGTCTACTTATTTTCCAATTCGATAGGCATCTCTCAAGGATTTGAAGAGACGTCTGTCAAAGAGGAATCAATTTTCAAGTCAGATTTTCATGTAATAAAGGAGAACTACCTTACCTTATTACACAAGAATACAAGTCACACAGCGACTATAATCATTCCACAAATGGATCTAAAATATTTATAGCAAGAAGGTCAACCAGAAGTGGTAAATGGTAAAATCAGGGCTGAATCCTTTTTGATTATTTAAATTATTAATGAATGGCATTACTGCTCTTTTTTTTGGTCAAATCCTAGTAATGCATATTAGATATGAAACACAAAATGCACTAGTCTATTTATTATTAATTCTTGGTCTATTTTGTGTTTTTCAGATGTTGCTATCCAAGGTGCCAATATAGTAGGCTTAGAAGACTAGTATATTTTTTATTAAATCTTGGTCTATTTTGTGTATTTCAGATGTTGCTATCCAAGGTGCCAATGTAGTAGACTTAGAAGACAGTATGAAACAACTCTATACTGAGGAACATCACCTGTGAGTATCAAAGAATAGTTGTAGTTTCTGCTACAATGCGCATCTCACCCTGTAGTATCATAGAGTGCTATATCTTCTACCACAATATAAATCTCAGTATATGAAAGATTAGCTATCTGGTTCAAACAATAAATGCATATCTTCTGACCCTCAAACCTGAGCATTTTTCTGAAATAGCTGTTACTGTCATTTTTGCATTATTTCAAATGGTTTACTTTTACCCTATCATGATATTTTCAATTACCTGTAGTTATTACAATAACATATTTTTTTTGTATCTTAGTTTTTCATCAGAGAATCAAATGTTCTAACACATTCAACATGAAAATGAAAAGATTATAAACAAAGCATTTGTTTTTATTTTAGCACATCTGTTCCTGAGCGATTAGAAATTGATGAGTTGCCAAAACCTCTATCAAAATGCCACATCTTTCTTCTGAATCTGTCCTGGTATGGACTCAGTCTTATGTTTCTAATTCTCTCCGTGGAAGGTAAGGCCATAAAATAGTATTTTTGTTTAACGTCTTGAATACCAGGTTCTAAATACATGTAAGTGTAATTGTAACAGGAGAATTTGATGACAATAAGAAAAGATTTTTTAGTAAAAGTCAAATGCCTCGTCTGCCTCAAAGGTGATTAGGCCCATGGTTTGATTCAGTTTAAGTGCCTCATTCTTTCTGTGGAAAGTAAGAACATTTTATTGAAGTAAGTATTTTATTTAGGCTCTGATGACTGAAGGGGTTTTCAGAAATTGTTCTTATATTTATTTAGTCTTTTTGTTTTTGTCTTTCTTAAAGTAACATACATTAATCTCTTTCTTAGTAATGTTTGAGGTAAACCCTAATTACCACTGTTATGTTTAATCATGGTTAATGTGCATTTTCTACCTGCTTCTTTCAGTCGTTACTACATTTTTGCTAGATCCCTGTATTTTTTATCAAGTTTGTTCTGACTTTTTAATTATTATAATTTGTTTGCAGTTGTCCCTGCTCAAATTCACGCCATGGTGGGAACAACAGGAAAGGGACGGTGGCTGGGTGGCATGGTAGCAGGGGGTGCAAGTAAGTCGATCATTTCTTCACTTTCAGACCCAGAAACTGTCTTTTTCATTTCTACCAATTCTTGAGAATGAAATAAAATGTTTTTCCGAACCTTGTTGGAACAAAATAGCACATGCAACATTTTCTTAGATTTTTCAATATTATAGTTATACAAAGGAAATTTTGGTTGATTTAACAAAAAGTATGCAAAAACTTAAAACAAAATCCCCCCAAAATAGATAAAAATTAAGATAAACCTTTTATTTCATTAACAAGATACTTTTTTTAAATCAACCAAACTTTCCTTTGTACAATTACAATATTGAGAGACCTAAACACATTGTGTTTATGTCGATTTGTTCCAATGAGGTTCGGATAGATGTTTCATTTCATTCCGAACGTATGATACCAAGAACAAACTATTCAATTCATTAATCATCCCGTTCATCAGATTGATCTAGTTTAAGAATAGTTGGGTTATTCAAAATATAATAATTGTTGATGTCTGATGTGTTTTCTAAAACAATATAGAGAAAAGTATATACTGTATATATATATTTCAATTTATAATGTAACCATCCAAAAGATGACCATTAAATTGACGATGTGTAAAATTTTCAGAATGTTTTGATGACTGGTTAAATAGAAACGCGTGTTCAAAAAGTTCACCATATCAATACCACTCCTTTCAAAGATATGCATATTTTCTAATATAGACTTCAATACATATGTTGTATATGTCCTTGACCTTTGTCATATTTCAGTTGTGACGTTCATTAGTGGTCCTCTTGTGGGAATGAAGAGTGATAGACTGGTCTCAAAGTGGGGAAAGAGACGTCCAGTCATGCTTGGCGCTACCCTCATGCTTAGCCTTGCCCTGTGGGGAATGGCCTTTAGTGCCCCTAAAGTAATGTTGTAAGTATATTTCATCACCTACAATTGTTCACCCAGCTTCAGGTAGACTGTGGAAATTGTATACCTCCACTGTGAACCAAGATGACTCGGAGGCTGCAATTCATTAATCATCCCGTTCATCAGATTGATCTAGTTTAAGAATAGTTAGGTTATTCAAAAACTAATAATTGTTGACCCATTCAAAGGTAGCCTGATTAAATTGTTCACCTTAGATGGTCACGTATTAAAATCTTATAGCATAGCATTAAACAAATTAAAACAAACAATCTAAACAAATCCCAGAAACAACTCTTCAACTGTCAAGCCAAACCAATCCACCAATGTTGAATTAAGTGTGAAAAGACTCGGGCATAATATATAATATATGTTTCCATTGTGAAAACATTCAAAACACACAATACTTCCTGTAGAGTGGCTGGCAGGTTTGACGTCATACTCGAACATTATCAAATCATGCCACCATTTTCCTTTGAATGGAAAGAGAAGAGTGAATTAGCTTATTGCAGCCTCTAAGGCTGGAACTCCAGGGTCTCTATTTTGATTTGTTGTATAAAATTACTCATGTCCAAACCTCTTCTTATTTTAGACCACATTATAAGCAGAAATATAACACAGAAACAAGAGAACAAAAACATTGCATCCTTTTACAATATTGATTAATAAAATAGCGTCAATAATCAACACTATTTTTATCAAAACATTTCAGGCCATTGTAGTTGAACGACCTTTGCAGCTTTTTACATAGATGAAGATCAATGCAAAGTGGGCCTCAATACAAGTGGTTCTGTTTAAATCATCAACTAATTTGTTACAATAAAAACATGATGAATGGGAAAAGTGTTAATAACACAATGTATTGGCAATTTTGCATTGATTTTTCTTTATGTAAGAATATAATTTATCATAGGAAATTGAATGCTGCAATGTTTTTAAAGATTAATTTGAACACTATTTGAAATGTCTTACATAACAGAAACTGGCAAGCAACCTTCCACCAACACCATGAATAAGGATTCCACCAATACCATGAATAAGGATTCCATCAATACCATGAATAAGGATTCAATCAATACCAACAATAAGGATTCCACCAATACCATGAATAAGGATTCCATCAATACCATCAACAAGGATTCCATCAATACCATGAATAAGGATTCCATCAATACCATGAATAAGGATTCCATCAATACCATGACTATTTGAAATGTCTTACATAACAGAAACTGGCAAGCAACCTTCCACCAACACCATGAATAAGGATTCCACCAATACCATGAATAAGGATTCCATCAATACCATGAATAAGGATTCCATCAATACCAACAATAAGGATTCCATCAATACCATGAATAAGGATTCCATCAATACCATGAATAAGGATTCCATCAATACCATGAATAAGGATTCCATCAATACCAACAATAAGGATTCCACCAATACCATGAATAAGGATTCCATCAATACCATCAACAAGGATTCCATCAATACCATGAATAAGGATTCCATCAATACCATGAATAAGGATTCCATCAATATCATGAATAAGGATTCCATCAATACCATGAATAAGGATTCCATCAATACCATGAATAAGGATTCCATCAATACCATGAATAAGGATTCCATCAATACCATGAATAAGGATTCCATCAATACCATGAATAAGGATTCCATCAATACCATGAATAAGGATTCCATCAATACCATGAATAAGGATTCCATCAATACCATGAATAAGGATTCCATCAATACCATGAATAAGGATTCCATCAATAATATGAATAAGGATTCCATCAATACTATCAATAAGGATTCCATCAATACCATCAATAAGGATTCACTCATCAAGCATAATTCCATCCATAGTAATTTCTGCTAAAATTGTTTTTGTAGTCTTTTGGCGTTAATTATGATTTCATCAATGGAGAATATAAATATATTGAAAAAATGAAACCCAAATGAACATTGATAATTTTTGATATATGGGGAGGGGGCTATTCCATATGAAAATAACTTCTTTGTGCGCCTACCCATAATATTCAATAATATTCCTAAAATTTCAGTTGCAATGACTGTGTGAAACAGTTGAAATCCCATACAGAGCAATAAAATAAAAATGAAAATAAAATGATGAAAAACAAAATAAAATCCGATGTTAATTGTTATTGTTTTTCATTCCAGGCAAGCTCCGTTGAATACCAATACCACAAATGCTACAAATGTGGTGAGTAGAATTCTATATAGTTTTTATCACAATTTTTATGTCACCCCCACAAGTGGTGACAATTATTGTTATGGTCTCCAACTTTTTGTGACGTGTTTCTGTGCCCTGCAGTTGGCGTTTGGCATCTGTTACAAATAGCAAGTGGTGACATTTTGCCTATTAATGCCTTGTTTCATTTGTCAAGTCAGTATACCATATATGGTGTTTTGGCTATGTATTCTTTTATAATACAGTGTTGAAGAAACATTAAACGTATACCGGTAAATGGAATGTTCATTTTTATACAGAATGAAGGATGACAAGAGAATTTTCACATCACCATGCATAAAGCTGTAGTCCAATATTGCATAAACATTTAGATAATCTCTCTCTTTCTAGTGCATGATAGACCTGGTTGAACAAAGGTGTAAGCCATACTTGAACACAACAACCTATCTCCCACTGGCATACACCAATGGCCACCACCATAAAGATTCAGTGCCTCAACAACAAGGTGGCGTAAATATCCCCGAAGTTAATAAGAAAAGTGGTCAGGATACCAACTTTGATGTGATTGAGGAGGAGCGCTTTGGAAATATAGGTGAGGGAAATTTTAATTCACATCTATTCATGTCTTCATTGACTTGCTTTGCATTTGTTTAATTCACCCATGAAGTAAAAGATGTGAAGATGTCTTATTTTTCTCATGTTTGTATGTATATCTTTATTGCCCTTTATGAAAAGGAGATACACAATGAGTATATGAGTAAATGACCACCTGACAAATTGATTTGAAAAGTTTTCTAGGGATGTTTCTTGGTATGACAATGATAAGTAGAAGTTATTTTATTTTAAACAGCCCTTATATATGTATCTATTGTACATGTGTGTATTACTTATTTGCGTCTTAATTCGAGACATAATATTACAATACATTCCAATAATGAAAACCCTATATTTTCAGGCCTCTATATCGGATTCTACTTACTTGTTATCACGTGTTTCACATGTGTCACTGTGCCTCTAAATGCTCTTATTGCTGATAAATCAAGACCTGAACAGAGAGGTAAAAATGAACTTTAACTCCTGAGCCCTTGGGCCTGAATATCACTGTGCTTTTGCATTTTTCAATCCATTCCTTTCTTTAGTTGAATGAATGGAGTATGTAATGTAAATCTATTTGTTTTTGGCAGTTATATGATAATAATATTTTGAATACTGACTTTATGTGTATACTAGAATAGTACTTTATTCCTCGCATATTCGACTTTTCAGTCTATTTTGCATTTGAAAATGTGACAATCAAATAAAATAATTCTTCATTTAATCCACAATTGCCCTGAATGTTAACCCTGGTGATTGGTGATTACACCTATGTTTGTACAATAACTTGAAATAAAGTGAAATAATGAATTCTTTCTCCGCAGGTCTCAACTCAGGTGTCATGGGCTTCATGATCCTCTTTGGGAACATTTCTGGTGCTGCAGTTGGACTGTTCTTCCTGGTAAGATTATTGGAAACATTCCACAGATATACTTTGATTGTTTAAGATTTCTTGGATTTTCTCATAGTTTCATCAAGGTGATCGAGAATCAATTGAAAATGTTAACTTATCCATGAATATAATATTACCCAAGATTTCAGTTGTTTAATATTAATTCATTCGCAATATTGATGATGGAAGTAAGTTTACTAAAGAAACTCTCTTTTGAACAACATTTAGTGTAACTTGTTTGTGATAAATAGTGCAAGTGTATATTGATGTACATGTATTTCTAGCAAATGGGTGTATTCAGTGTCTATGGGTGTGTGACAGGAGTTGTGGTGATAACTGTACTCATCACAGTGTTCACAACACCAGAGGAACCAGCCAAACCCATACACGAACCCATAGAATGGAGGAAGATCTTAAAAGGCTATTGGGAGCCTTTAAAAGGTAGAATATTGAAATTAAACTCAGTCTAGGCTACTGTAAAGTCTAAAGGAATTCCAGCTTAGGTTAAAGCTGCACTATACTTAATTTAGACGAAAAATAAAAAAGTAGTCATTGAAACGTGTTACTCATACACTAGCTCAAATGTGACACAAAGTTTGATTTGCTTTTATATTGAACCAAGAAAAAAGTAACTCACATAGAAAAACGTCAAAAAAGCATTTGTAGTTCAGAGATCATTAGACATGCATGCACATGTAAACAAAGAGCATGTTTTAAATTACTATCGATTTAAAAGATGGCGAAACTTCTATAAAAATGAATGTATCATGTAATACAAACAACTCTGCCATCCTTTTCAATGACATTGATAAAAACTTGATACATGTATATAAAGCTTGACATTTATTATAAGCTTTGCTGTGGTCCATTTGAGCTGTTGTTGGTGTCAAATGAAAGATAAGGTTCTTATCAACACATTGGACATACTATGAAATTTAAATGTATGTCTTTATTTTGCCCAAAAATGTTGAAAATTCCCAAAGTGCGCCTTTAATTTTAAAAAAGGATAAATGCTTTATCTCTGTTCAAAGTGAATTTCTGAATGGCCTTTAAATTCAAAATGGGGCATTTAAAAAGAAATATGCATCTCTGCTTGAAATGAAATCCTTCATATTTTTCTAAAATATGCTTTTTACATTGGTTTAAATGTTGCTTTGTTTTCAGACCATGACTTTAGGTGGGTGTTTTTCACCAGATTCCTGATGCAGCAGGGTGTCTCCACTGTTACAGGGTGAGTTCATATTTTCAAGATGGTATCTGACAGAGAGACAGAATATGGTCTTTGTTTGTATTTACTGAAAATCCATTGTCATACTTATTTTAAAAACTCAAACTCAAGAGGTTGGTCCAAGAAAAGCTGTACATATTGTAATTTCATAATGTACAGTGGTGATTGATGGTGTACGGTGTGCAGCTAGCTACAATTTAGACCTAGTTACAATTTAGACCTAGCTACAATTTAGACCTAGTTACAATTTAGACCTAGCTACAATTTAGACCTAGTTACAATTTTGACCTAGCTACAATTTAGACCTAGTTGCAATTTAGACCTAGCTATAATTTAGACCTAGTTACAATTTAGACCTAGCTACAATTTAGACCTAGCTAGAATGGTGTAGAGCAAGGTCTAAATTAGTGATGAGGTAAATTGCAACAAGTGAAGCAAGACTCTATGCTCTTTTTATTTTTTTCCATGAAAAGTGACAAGACAACTGTGTCAATGACCTCATCCTAGCTTGGGATGTTCTTTATGTATAATTATCATGACTTTTATAATTTCAGATTTCTGGAATATTGGTTGTCTGATATGGTCAACCTTCCATACTGCTGGTCCCCTGAACGTTCTGTTGCTCTAATGCTGCTTCCATTGCTTGGTGCAGCAGCCATAAGGTAAGGAGTCACACCATCAAATACAATGTACATTCAGAATGGATTGAAGTTATACATTGGAATATGATTTCCACCATTCTCATATGGTTTGGTAGCATCGAGCATCAAGAAAGTTTTTTTTTTTTAACCTTTTTGAAATAAAAACAGCTCTCGGTATTTTTAACCACGGTTACCATGGTTAATACTGAATACACAGCGTACTTCATAAATCTTTGAAATGTTAGAATTATACTTGGTTAGAAAATGAGACCATGTTTCATTATAATTTAAAGTAGATGTACTTGAGGTTCAATTTTATTTTTCAGCTCCATAGCTTGTGGTATTGTATCAGATAGAATTGGGCGAAGAAAACCTTTAGTTATTACATCAGGTAGGAATTGATTATTATTAAACATAAAAATGTATTTCGTATAGCTTATATATTTTTTTTATTCTTTTAATGCAACATTTTTCAATCACACAATGATATTTTAATTGCTATACATTCTTCATCAATTTTTGGTCAAGTGGAACTGCTTTTAGCAGACCTATATGCAAACCAACTAAAAAACACTCAGATTGTTCGTGAGATTACCAAGGAGGTTTGGTAGCCATTACTCAAACTTGATACTCCATTGCCCAGCATGGAACAATTTAGTAATAAAAATATTTCTATAAAATTCTCTTTGGACCAAGAATTTCATTAGAAATGAACATTATGAAAAATATGGTTATATTCAAGTTTAGTTGACAGTTCTTGTCTTCAAAATATGAGTAATAATGTTACCAAATTGGTCCATGCCGGGCAATGGAATATCGAGTTTGAATAATGGCTTCCAATGAAAGAACGTACCTTAATTCAAATGTCAGAATTCATCATTATTCAATTTACAGCAGAGACATCTATATAAGCAAAATTCAAATTACTTTGTCTTTTTAAACTAAATTAAAAGATGCCACCGCAGTTAAAAGAGATGATATACATTATTGGATGTTATTTTCAGCATTAATGATGTGCATAACAACGAGCATATTGTCCTTCATGAGGGGGGAGTATGCATACTATGTTGCAATAGCCCTGTCAGTGATCTATGGTAAGTTTTGAGTGAGTGGTTTTAATCTGCTCACACCCATATACTATTGTTAACCCATTCTCACGTCATCATAACCAGGTTCCTTCCACCCGGACCATGTTTTCACAACACAAATATCAGTTCTTTAGTCGCGAACCTCCAGTTCCTCTCTTCCAAAGCTGCGTATTCGCAATCTGGGAACTCAATGCTCAAGTGGAGAAATAAGTTTGGGAGAGAGAAAATTGTCAATATATGGGTTGTGAGAATGTGGTTCGGGTGAAAGGAACATAGCCAACAAGGTAGGAACGTATGACTGCATGTGGAAGTCTAGGAGGTCTTAAACTGAAAAAAATGAATTTTTTGGTTCACTCCATCCTTGTTGCAAGGGTATTTTACAAGTAGATAAGAATTTATATATATGTATATCTGAATTTAAGCATAAATGAAGTTCTTTGAAATCTTTTGGCTCACCCTGTACGTACATGTAATACCCACAGTGGAAAAGGAAGAGACCGTCTGATTAAAATATTTTGTTTAACTTTTATAGGTATGGGTCTGGGGTCTTTCCAAGCTGTGGACTTTGCCTTGGTAATGGATGTACTTGATGATGACAAGGATAAAGCTAAGGATATTGCAGTTTGGTCTCAGGTATGAGATATCACTTTTATCTTATAACCAAATAATCTAATTGAATGTATGTGATCAAATACATGTTGCTGGTTTGTTTATGGTTTGTTAATAGAATTGGTAAATGTATCATCTTAGATTGTCATAAATTGCATCATTGAACAGGCCCGTAGCCAGGATTGGCCAAGGGGGTTCACTCTTGAAAAATTCCAGGGGGGTTCACTTGTGACAATCTTGGTCCAAAAATGGCCAGAATCACTTAAAAAGTGCTCAGAATGGTGAAAAACTGCATGATTTTGAAAGATTTCTTGGCCAGGGGGAACCCATCGAACCCCCCCCCCCCCTGGCTACGGGCCTGTTGAATTCTGCATTTCTTAATATTTGAAACTGATTATGAATTTCATCAATTTTCTTATTCTTATTTAATTATCCTCACCCCCTCTCAGTGAACATTGTTATTTACATTCTGATTGGAAATACCACATTATGTACATTACATCATGTGGTAAAATGAAAATGTGAAAACCAGAATGCAATATATTAAGTCATACTATTTTACTTGTGATTCAATGAGTCATATTCTAGTACCCCATTCATAAAATGATTTTAATCACTATTTCTGTATTCAACCCACATTGATAAGTTGTTGCAAGGAAATTAACAAATTATTATGTCCCCACCACATAGTGTGGGGCCATATTGTAGTTTGAAATGCTTAGCATGCACCATACACAATTTCTGAGACTTTTTGAGACTTGCTTCGCTCGCAGTGAAGTAAACCCAAAAATTTGCACCACCCCTTGACATTTGCTGGCAACGCCCCTGCAAGCTGTACCATTATTACAATTAAATAAAATATTTATGAGTAAAGTTGTACCAAATCATTTTCATTTCACAAAATCTTCATAAATAGATCTTGCTATAAATATTATGTGCTGGGTACTATTTCTATCATTGTAGATTTTGTGGTTAACATTTGGGCTTGAGATCTTTAGTGTTATAACTATGGAGAGTTCATTGATACCAGTCATGTAGTGCAATATTAGATCATTTTGTATTATTTGGATTTCGCAATATCTGACGCATCGTCATGTAAAATACAACTTATCTGCTATGTCCGTGGATTTTAGCCGGATATGTTTCAGACATGGAGTACGTGCTATCAGAATTATATTGTAAACTGTTGCTACTTATTTACGGGATTTAGTGATTATGACTGTATAATCATGTGGATGTCTTGTTTCCGATTGGTCCAAATCCCACTCCTTTTAATCATATATGATGTTTCATAACAAGATCCTTTGCAAATTCACATCAGGTTGTCAGGATCATATCATCATTAACCCTATAGATACTAAATAATATTGAATTACTATAGATATTGTCAATATTATGACATGTTATATTAATTTTTTCAGGCCATGATCCTCCCACAGGCCCTTGCTACCCCAATAGGTGGCGTGCTGTTAGATGTGTTTGAACGTATAGACTGTGAGCTGGGCTTGGGTTATATTATTCTCTTCCTGCTCTCTTCTTTCTACTTCTTCCTGAGTGGAGTATTCGTACTGAAAATTAGAGGAGTAAAGTAAATTAAAAGAACAGCTAAGATCAGTGAGAATTAGAACAGTAGAGGAGTGAGATAGATTAACAGGATAGCTAAAATGAGTGAGAACAATACATAGAACAGCAATTAAACCAGTGATTTAGAAACCAGGGAATAAAAGGTCCACATATAAACACACAATTGCCATATATGGTCATTGGCGGCAAAGCTAGCAATGAGGCAGGCAAGCGAGACTACTTTTTCAAAATTTTACAGAAAAATCGACTTAGGTTGAAATTACATCACATAGTAGTATCACATGTATATCTCATTTGCCTAAAATTTTACCACGTCTTGAGATTGCGGCTATTCTCCTGACTATTCAAATGACATTCTTCTGACATTCTACATTGTTTCTGCAATAACGTTGAAAAAAAAACGATGTTACATAAGTTTTGGTGAGAAATCAAAGTGAATAATCTTGTCTGGATCAACAAGTGGCCTATAGATGGCGCTTTGTATATGTACGTATTGTACATGATACTGAGGCAGGCTTCTCAGTACATGTAGCATATAGCATTATTTAGTATAGTATATGTAATAGTTTGTGTGGATGGAACAATATAATCTTGATAGGCAGTCATCTTAGAAATATTTTGTTGCAGTTTTTTGGCATTTATGTTGCTGAATAGTAAAAATTTGACTTCTGGTTAAAGTAATGAAGTGAATTTTTGTTTTTGAAGAAAGATATTCAATGCTTGTATAACACTCAATATGTAATTGTACATTTACCTTGTAGTGTAGCTACATGTGCTCAGCTTCAAGAAAAATTAGTTTGTGATATCAAGATGTCAATTACATGTAGTCGGTTTAGCCAAAACAAGGAATAAGTCAGAAGACTTATACAGTTGTGTAAATCTAGGGAATGAAGGTAGATGGCCAAAAGAACGGTACTTTTTCGAAAAATGAAATATAAATGGCCATATGAGTGCCACTTTTAAATGTTTTTGGTTGTATGAGTATTTTGTTGACTCTTTGAAACAGACTTTATTACAATAATTAGTGCAATGCTATTGTGCAATTACATCTGTATCTGAGTAATATACAAATAGATTGAAATTGAAATGGTGGAAACATAAATGCAGTTTCATATTGTACATTGTACATTATGCTAATATATATGTAAATATATGATAATGCATTGTTGTTCATGATATTACTATATGTATGTGCAGTAATATATGATATTTTAGTTGCCAGTATTTGTCAGTAACTTCACTTGTATGATATTTTTGATGTGATGAACATTGTAAAAGCAAATATTTAGGAAAAATCTGCGCGCAGTGTACTTACCTTGGACTATGTAAATTATGAAAATAAATTATGTTTTATATGATATTGTGAAGTATTCAAGAAAAACCTGCTGCCAAATATGTACATGTATTATGTCCTATTATGGTGTATGTGGTTTAGTTTTGTTTTAAATGTGCAATACTGTTACAAACTATATTTGAAAACTGAAAGCAGCGATGTATGTTATTGTCACTAACAATTTATAACCCTAAATGTTCTTTACAATATTTAATGTTAATTTTAAAAATGTTAGCTAACATTTGAAGAACTGCTTGTGTGTATTAGCACAGACCATGTTCATGTATTTTATTGCTTTTTTTTGGTTTCTGTCATGCCATCCATTTACTGCCATAGTAAAGTAGCCACATCAATTATATCCAATTGTTTCCCAAATGTATCTCTCAACTAGATAACATCCCATGTCATTGACCAAGTTTCCCTCATCAAGATACGATCCCCCCCCCCATTCTATATTACCTTCCATGTTATTTTGTTTCTGTTTTGAAGTTTTATTTATTTTACACTGCTTGCGTAGATCTCATAAACCAATGACAAAACAACATGATATTATACGAGTTTAGCAACTGCTTGTGTAATTTAGACATTCCATGTTAAGGTAGTTCCACACTTTACAAAAAATTGAAAAAATGTGGGGATTTCAATTCTGTTCAAGCAAATATTTTGATTTTGAATTTTGTATTAAACAATTTTGTGCAAATATCCGCATAAAAATGTGAGAACCATGAAGACAATTCATTAATGTTTTGTTATTTTATTTATAAAAATTAATATTTAAAAACTACCTTACCTACCTAATCTCATTAAACATGCAATGAAATATTTGTTTATTTTGAAAAATGTTTCCATGACAGGGGATGTATTTGAACAATAAGTTGTATATTGTAGTATTATTGTATAGTAAATATAAGTGTTATATTTATACATGCACTTATTGCTTGCTTAGCTTGTCTTATGTTGCAATATTATTTATATAGATGTAGATGTATGTTATCATTAATCCTAGTATATTTACATGTTAACATTGACTGCACCTACATTGTACAATGTAACGATAAATTATTACAAAGGAAAATTGAAATCATTCTAAGAATCAAGGAACTAGTTGGGTATGAGGTTGAGGAAGCAACCTGAAATGAATTGATATTTATTCCAATGGGAATATTATACACAGCAGGTGTTTTGAACTCGCCTATTATTGAAAATCTGGCTACGCCCTTGAGATGTAAGTTATTGTTGATAGATTCACTTCCTTGACATATTAAGGAAGGCATAGTCGAATAAGACTTTTAACTGAGCTCATCTTTAAGGAGCTTCTGAAATAATCCTGCCTACCTTAATGTGAGTCATAAAATCAACTTTCTCAAACTGAGTAAAATAAATGAGTTGTGAATCCATGATTCTGAATATTTGCTTATTTGACGAAAGTTTCCTTATGTCAAAAAAAAGTTGACTGTCTCTGCCATTATCATCGATATATACGATAATTTTCAAGATTATGACTTCTCTGTTTTTGAAGATTTACCATTTTTGAAAAATATGGTATATAATTCCCCATGCTTTAGTGTATATTGTTTTTTTAAATGAAAAATATGTGGCCAGGAATTATGACTTCACATTTTGGTGCAGTTATTTTGAGGCATGATATTTGGTATGGTGAAAGGCAGCTAGGATTGAATTTGAAAAGTGTATAGCTAAGCCTGACATCTATACTTTATACAACATGTGCATTACAGTTTCCTTTATATGCAATGGCCAGTTTGTATGAAAATACACCCATAGGATATTAAATTTATCTCTGCTGTGTTTAGCAGGTCTACTTTCAAAATCTTCAAAATTAACTACATTATAATTCACAATAATAGCAGAATGCAAGAATGTTATGTATATGTTGAATGAATGTATATGTTGTTCTTAAACATTCTCACATCTTCTGCAATAATTTATATACATGTAATTTGAAATGACTATAAAATTGTACCATGGTGTCTTGTGACTCCCATATTTACTGTACATTCATATAATATTCAGTTAGATTACCGATTTCCTTATTCTCGTACACAGTGTGTTAAAAATATCTCAATTTGTTTTTCGCTGAATTTTGATATGACGCTTAAAAGTTCAGTTATCCAGTATTTTAATTCTAAGAATTGGTGATTCATAAGTAGTTCAAGTTAATGAATGACATGTCACATGACTATAAAGTACTGTAAATCAATATATGTTTGCATTAACATGTACGAAGCTATTGTAAACTGCTACAAACTGATATTCAAATAAAACAACCTAGAGATATGATATAAAACTGTATTCACTTATCATTGATGTTCTTTTACAAATTTTTATCTTAATTAGCCCATTGCTGTTAAGTAAAAATTATATTTCATTCAAGTTCTCAAGATACCAACAACCATTTGAACTTGGGACGTGACTTCATTCAAGTTGAGCCTAAATAAGGAAGAAAAGACATTTGCTTGGATCAATGAATACTCTTTTTGTAATAAGGTTAATTTCTCTATGGGGGGGGGGGGGCTTTCAGAATATGGGCCTCTAAAATATAATGTACTTTAGAGAGTCTATTAAAACATATGGATGGTTTCATCATTCATGTTCATATAAGGTAATAATTCATAAAACCAGGATATATATGCAAATAATAAGTAATTCAGGGACTTGGAACTCTGGTGCTGCTATTAATGAAGGGAAATTGAGATCCCATTAACAAAATCATGTTTTATACAATTTGCTATTTCTTCCTTATATTAAAACGAAACAGAAAATTATTCAAGTAGGATTCAATGAGCAATAATAGATAGCATGGCAAACTGATAACATTCTGTAAACCAGTACTTTAATCTCATTTAAAATTCATAAATACAGGGTGACACAGAAATGTTACAATATGCACTGTTCAGAATTATATAGGTACACCATACTTCAGTTTGAAAAATGCAAGCTGGTCATTTTGAAATACTATTCTCCTTTCTACAAAACTGTCAATATGATACATTATTGATAATATATGAAAACAATCCAGAAATGACTCAAATAATAAGTAAGTCTCAATGGCATTTTTGAATGGGATTTCATTCTGTGTTTTCATAAACCAATATGGGTGCATGCCTCAACAAAAAATGTTATTTTCCTAAATCAGAGAGCTGTTGATGCTTCATATATCAACCAATGTTTCAAGCATTGGACACTGTATTAATACCAGAAATTTCAAAAGATTCCATTATAATTGAGAAAATTATTGAAAAATAAAAGGGTCGCATTTTTGGTGTCACCTTGTAAAACTGTATAATTCTATCCAATACATGTTGTTACATGAACGCATGTAACCTGAAAATAGTTTTAAAATGTGGTTAATTAGTAGCTCTGAAAGGTCATTGATTATTATAATGATATATATATTTGAATTTATTATGAATGAAGTTGTTTTCAAAATATTCGTTCAAAAGATCAACACTCCTACGCTTGAGTTATACATATTTGACATTGAAACACTCATTTCTGTGACCTTTTCAAGATAAAGAAATAAAGGATTGGCAAACATAATACAGATATTTGGCGGGCTTTGAATGGCAAACTTTGAAGTGTCATATCCTGTTGGTTAATACTACAGTGTATAAATGATATAACCATATCTTGATCAATTTATTTTGTCTATATTTGTAAAATAATTCAATTATTAATCTTGAGATTTTGAAAGTGTAACTCAGGGGTATAAAGTCAAACATGAGGTAATTGCCTCACAAATGCCTCACAAAAATATCCACTCACATGGTATCTAAATTGAAACAAAGCAAATTGTCTCATGTAAGATTTAATTCCATTTGACCTAATTTGCCATACCTTGGCATGGCTGTAGCACTGAAACCATCAGAACTTAGGGGACTGCACATACCTTTTACTAATAACCAGAATGATTCTGAAG